TATTTTATTATTTTAGTCTTTCTTTTATACATTATTTCCTTCTTCACCATTATCTTCATATTCTACTAGGATATTTTAATTGCTTTGGCAACAATTGTTAATTACAATTCATACCAATAAAGTTATTTGAATTTGAAAAAAATTTGAATTTGAGAGAGGGAGAGAGAGAGAGACAGAGAGAGAGAGAGAGAGAGAGAGGGAGGAAGAGGGAGAGAGAGAGAGAGAGAGAGAGGGCGAGAGAGAGAGAGAGGGAGAGAGAGAGGGAGGAAGAGAGAAAGATAGGGAGAGAGAAAGACAGAGAGAGAGAGAGAGAGAGAGAAAGGGAGAGAGAGAGAGGGAGGAAGAGAGAGAGAGGGAGAGAGAGAGTGAGAGAGACATCAGGATTAAATATTCAGAATAATGCAGGTGGAAATTCACACAAAACTCATTTAAAACAGATCTGAATCTGGTCACTCAAACCACTTCAGGAGACACATTTTAGAGTATAGATACATCCGTCTCTCCAACAACCAGAACCACGCCCACTTATGTGACTCCGCCCATGGGTGCCTTGCAAATGGGGAGACTCCGCCCACGTGACCGCCTCCACTACACAGAGCAGTCCCTGCCCCTTCAGTTCAGTTCAGTTGTCTTCACCTCATTGTTTCTCTCACTACAGTTTTACTGCATGTGGTTCGTGACTGCGGTGACAAATACAGGAGGATAAATATCTAAACAGGTGTGTTCTTGTAAACCTTGGACCAAGGAAATGAGTAACGGTGTGCAAAATTCAGATTTTTTTAAGTGACAATGATCTCTTTGAGGATCAACACAACCGAATGAGCTAATTTGCTTTTTACATGCCAGCAATCGGATTTCAATCTGATTAACCAGAGACACCTTTTATATTCCAGTAGAATTTTAAAATTAAACGTAAAAATCTGAATCTGATCTTTTTAATCTATATGTACCATTTGAAATTGAAATCTGAAATGAAATTGAATTTTACAATTGATGATGTAAAACTGAATGTCTAGAATTCAGTTTCTAAAACGTGATAGAATTTTTCCATTAATTCGAAATTTTAGTTAAGTGTTTCTGATAAAATGGCCAGTGAGTGTAGGAACAATGTAGGAAAAGATTCGGTGTTTGGCTGCTTTTGCCTGCAAGACACCCAGATGTTATTATGAAAAACACGTTAATATGAAAATGTGAATTAGAATAAAACAGGAAGAACTGAACACTTTTTATGAGACGAATGTTCAGTTTCAGTACATCATCAACCGTAATGTTCAGTTTTTATCCAGTTATATTCAGGTTTATTTCGCTCTCTTACGACCCTTAAAATTCAGTGTCAGTTCAGAATTCAGTTTCGGTACGATTCAGATTCAAAATAGTGACTTTCAAATTCAGGTTTTTACATTCAAATACAAATTTCTAATGGCATGAATGTAACATGTTTGATTAAACACAGGGTGTTAAAATCCAATCAGATTACAGTCCCGATTCAGTGCGCAGGTGTAAACGGGGTGTAAGAGTGTTTGTGCTCAGACCGTTTGTGCTGGTCGGGGTTCTCCTCTCTATCTGCTTCGTACGACACAGAGTTACGGTTCTCCTCGTAGTCGTGCATCACCTCAATCTGCACATGCACACAAGAAAACACCATCAGCATCACATTTTCACCACTGCTGGAAAATCTCTCTTCACTTTTATACATAAAGCATACAGTCCATATGTGGAAACTAAGCTGAAACAGCCCATTCTGAATTAACTGTTTTCATGATGTCACAAGAACCAACACATTTACATATGCCTATCCTGAATAGAGCATTATAGCCCCACCCAATCAGCCTTCAGCTGATTAGCCCCACCCACTGAGCCTTCAGCACTTCAGCCATTCAGCCTAAGTTTTGCTCTGCCCACTAACAGGGCAGCCAATCAGAACAGATTTCATTTATGTAGATTATTCTTAAAGGCACAGTAACAAAAACAGCCAGTGTAAAGAGATAAAGAGCTGACTCGGCTATCTTAGCACTGTTATTTAAACTGTGTGTTATCTGTTGGTTTATATAGTTTATAGAGGACTGTTTGATGCACTAACTGTAGTTAGTGAAGTTATCCTGCTAGTCAGTCTGCAGGTCTTTAGCCCCTATAGGCTCCTCCAGCTGCTGTAAAACAGGTCCGAACATCTCTGACCTTCTTTGTGTTGTTGTTGTTGTTGTTTTTCCGGGAGGCGCGTTTGCCGGGGAGCGAGAGGTCAAACGAGAACTTCAGACTGGAATTCACATCAAAACCTGAGATCAAACAGCAGTGAGTTAGCAAAACAAGGGAGATTAACCAGCTACAGTCTGTAATCACAGCTAACCCTGCAACAGACTCAGAGTCAGAGTCAGAGTCAGTTAGAGACTCAAACGAACGATGTTTAAACATCTACATCACTATCGCCATCACCAACATCACAGACCTTCATGCAGATTACTAAAGAGCCCTGTTAGCTCTACTGTTAGCTGTACTGTTAGCTCTACTGTTAGCACTAATGTTAGCTGCACTGTTAGCTCTACTGTTAGCGCTAATGTTAGCTGCACTGTTAGCTCTACTGTTAGCTCTACTGTTAGCGCTAATGTTAGCTGTACTGTTAGCTCTACTGTTAGCTGTACTGTTAGCTCTACTGTTAGCGCTAATGTTAGCTGTTCTGTTAGCTCTACTGTTAGCGCTAATGTTAGCTCTACTGTTAGCTCTACTGTTAGCGCTAATGTTAGCTCTACTGTTAGCTGTACTGTTAGCTCTAGTGTATAGTGTTTTTGATTATAATGACCTTAGTATTAATCTCTTTATTAACACTGATATTATGTCCAAATGTTCATCCACAGGTGTGAACAGGTTAAAAACGAGCAGTCTTTGTCCCCTTCTTTGCTGATTTTCAACATCACAGCGTTGCTTTAAAACACTTAAATTAGTAAATGTGGATGATGATTATATTTGTATTTAGCCCTACCAATGTTATTAACAGCTCTACCAATGTCATATTTGCCCTATCATTAGTCCTACTGTTAGCTCTAGTGTTAGCTTTGGCGTTGGACCTATAATGTTAGCTCTGTCTGTAGCATTAATTCTAGTGTTAGCCCTAGTGTTAGCTTTAGCTCGAATTAGCTTTGATGTTAGCTCTAGTAACCATTTAGCACTAGCAATAGTATAAGACCTCGTGTTATCTGTATTAATGCTCATTTGAAGGGACAGCTGGCAGCTCCATCGGACACCTAAGCCTCCTGCTTTAACGCGTCTTTGATTAACATCAGCATGTATTCCAGAATTCTCAGATGTGTCTGCACTGAAAATTTTGTAAAGCCAATAATTTTTGAATAAAGAGACATTTTCAAACGTACTTTAGTCTGCTATCACAAGAGCTATCACCCTAAAAAACAAGCGTACAGTGCTGCTTTTCAAACACAAATGAAACGCTGACCTGCAGTCTGTTTGTGTTTTTTTCATAACACTGGATACAGTTAGCTGAATCATAAGAACTCAGATTAGCCTAAACAATGACTAAATGTGGTCTGTATTTGTCTGTGTATATGACAGCTTACTGTGTTTCGGGGAAAACAGTGGAGATTTGAGGCGTGTTGGACTCTCAGGTCGTGGTGAAACCAGCTGGATGGGTCTGATCTGCACGTCGGCCAGTTTGCGCAGACAGGCCTGTCTATTCTGGACCATCGTCTGGACCGCGCTCAACTTCTCCATCACTGAGCCAATCTGTGTCTGAGGGGCAGCACACAGGGGACCGGCGATGGTTGCTATGGGCGGTGAGTGGGGGACATGATGCTGTGAGTCGTTTCAGTGTGTTCAGGTGTGTATTTACCTGCAGCTGAGGGGTCAGTACTGTCTGGAACTCCAGCATAAGCAGGTCGAAGCCAGAGTGGACGGCAGGGGGTGCCGTGTCCAGCAGCCTCTCGATATCCCGAAGAGCCACCTGAGCTCCTTCTTTAGACTGGAACTTGTCCACCAGCTGATTGGCCAACAGATACGCGCCGTCATCACACCAGCGCACCATCTGATAACATACAGTCATGTTCATAAATCATAAAAGAGCAACTTTGATTATTACAATAAATGAATTACTGAGATTTACTGGATTATTTTAAGATCAGATTGTTGATTTCCTATGCTCAGCTCAAAATCACTGACACCTGAGTGCGGCTTACGTGTAATAAAACAGAAAGTGATAAACATCTCAAAAACCGTGAAAAATGTATTTTATACACAAACCTTTCTGGAAAGGCTAAAAGAGCAGAGAGACTGCTTTTTGGTTATGGAGGTTAAGTCTAGGTTTAGGTGTAGTATTACTCAGCTAAAGTAACACAGAAGTCAGTGTAAGTTCTCACAAGTGCATTGAGACCAACATGTGGGTGTGTGTACCTCCTCCAGGCGCTGCAGCAGGTCTCGTGTTTGTATCAGTGCAGTGTGTTTGTTGTGCAGTGCGGTGGTCAGCGTGTCGCAGTGGTGTCTCAGCTCGTTACAGCGCTGGACGATCAGAGCCAGAGCGTAGTGATGACTTGCCGCCAGCTGGTGACCATGTAGGATGATGATTTGCGCGTGACCCATCTCCTCCTGTAGACACAGCACGGAAACAGAGGACAGTCAGCACACAGCACAGTCAGCACAGAGTACACCACACAGCACACAGCATGGCCAGCACACAGAACAGTCACTACAGAGTACAGAGCATGGTCATCACACAGCACCGTTGTACACAGCACCGTTAGCAAAGAGCACCAGGCACACAGCATGGTCAGCACACAGCATGGTCAGCACAGAAATTGGTCAGCATTGAGCACAGAGCACAGGGCACACAGTATAGTCAGCACACACCATGGTCAGCACAGAACACATGGCACAGTAAGCATGCAGTGTGGTCAGCACACAGCCTTGTTAGCACAGAGCACACAGCACAGTCAGGGCACAGCACGGTCAGCACACAGCATAATCAGCACACAGCACACAGCGCAATCAGCACAGAGCACAGTCAGCACACAGCACACAGCTCAGTTAGTATACAGCACACAGCACAGTCAGCACACAGCACAGTCAGCACACAGCACAGTCAGCACACAGCACACAGCTCAGTTAGTATACAGCACACAGCACAGTCAGCACACAGCACAGTCAGCACACAGCACACAGCTCAGTTAGTATACAGCACACAGCACAGTCAGCACACAGCACAGTCAGCACACAGCACAGTAAGCACACAGCACAGTCAGCACACAGCACAGTCAGCACACAGCACAGTCAGCACACAGCACAGTCAGCACAAAGCACAGTCAGCACAGAGCTCAATCGTTTATAGATTGCTGTTTGAATAAGGAGACCTCAGCCGTGGCGTCAAGGTCCTCCAGGTCCTTCAGCAGCTGATCGATTTGGGCCACAGTCACTCCTGAAGCAGGAATGGCTTTCTCTCGGGCGCTCAGCTTCTCCAGCAGGGCCTCCATCTGCAGAGCAGAGCTCACATCACTGCATGGTTTACCTTTCACATGTATTTTACCTCCAATTTAACCGTAGATTATTTAAAAAGCACTGTAAGTGTCCTTGATACTGTAAGTTTGCCTGGCTGTACATCCCCCTAGTGGTACCTCGTGGAAGCTGAGCTCGTATCTGAGCAGCTGGAGATACTGCTGCAGCTTCAGATGATGCTTCTCAAAAAAGCCATCAAAAGCCATTTCCATCTCCCTCAGCTGAGTCAAGAGCCTGCAGGAACACACACAGCAGCATCAGCATCGGTACCTGACCTCACTAATGCTCAATCAAATCATCACAGCAATGTTCAACATCTAGTGTAAAGCCTTCCCATAAGAGGAGAGGCTGTTACTGCAGCACAGACTCACTATTAATACCTTCATTTCTGATACCTTCGCTGCTGATGTCTGGTTATATACTCAATATACCACTGTATCTATACTATTAATATTATTATGTGACTCTATATACTATTAAAGAGCCCATGTGGAGGAAAACTGAGTTTGATAAAGGAGTTTGATCTGCTTTAATCTTAGTTTCGACTCATCGCTGATTACGTGATTATCACACTAACAGTATGGACGCCTCAGCAGAGACAGCAGGTGAGGAGCCTGTTGATTTCAGGGTCTTTATCTCTGGTTTCCTGAAGGCCAGCAATGCGATCCAGGGCTCTTTGGAAAGGTCACATCACGCCCGTGGAGTTTGGCTTCATTACAGCTTTTTTAAGTTGGATTTTTAAAGTCACTTGTACTTATACTGTTTGCTCCCCAGTCCATATATGAAAACTGCTAAAAAGCCTGTTTTCACTGTTTTGGTGATGTCATAAAAGCCAATGTGTTTACATATATCTGCCTATTCAACCTGCAGCACTTTAGCCCCACCCATTCACACAGAAGTTATAAAGAGTGTTTCATCTCTGACTGCTTTCTGAATGAGGCACAGCCAATCAGAGCGGGGCTCATGTACAATCAGGCATTGTAAGGAATAAAGGGTCATATAAAAATGATGTTTTTGATACATTAAACCACACAAATGTTCTAAGGGAAGAAGATAGAATACAGTAAGAATGTAGTAAATGGGCCCTTTAACTCTGGTTACCCACTGGCTGTGATTAACTGAGGTTGAAGTGTGTTATCTGTGATGTACCTCTGCACGGTGTCTCGGTCCTGGTTGATGTCCCTGTCCTCCGCCGCCGCTCCCTCTGCTGCTCGAGCGCCCTCCAGGTTCGACAGGATCTGCCTCCCCTCCTTTATCACCGATCGAATGTCATCCTGCCTCGATTACAAACTCATTTTAACCATCCGTTCACTTAAAGGGGCAGTCCGGCCTAAAATTAGCCTTTAACAGTCTGTCTGTTATATTACTGCAGTATTCTGTAGAACAACATTGAACTCCTCAACCTCTCTCACTACAATACCCAGCATGCACTGCACAAATACATCACACAGTTGTTAGGAATCCCTACAGTGCATCTTCAAGATACATCATCAGAAGGGCATTTTCCTGATCTTTAAAGACTCAGGGAAACAAAATCTGTTCTCTTCTAATCAGGTTAATCTTGTTCTTGCAGAAAAAACAGTAAATATATATGAAATTGGCCTTTGAATGACGTTTCAATGACCAATAAATGATATGTTTCACCATATTTCTCTCCTCTCAGTGTAAACTGGGCAGTCCTAATATTGAGTATTGCTTCCATAAGCATTCCCCTGACCAATCACAAGGCTAACCCAGCATAATCAGAAGCTAGCGAGCAAGACCGCCTGTCTGTTGCTGCCTGTCGCCGTTCACTCATTTATCCAATCCATTTATTTTAGTTCTGTATGAGGGGTGGAGCAGGCTAGGAGTGTCGGACAGACAGCTGTCAATCAAGCTGCCCAGTTTTCAGATAGGGCTGATCAGCGGTTTTTAAGCCGTATTTTATCATAATTATATCTTTCATTTGAGCTTTGCTGTTCACTCCTTGGGAAAACAAGTAATCCAAGCCCAAAACAGAACGGGTTTTACTGCTGGTTCTGGCTGGTTGGAGTCCAGATTTAAACCTTATAGTGAATATTTGGTCTCACATTAAACCCAAACCAGCTCTGCAGTGTTTTCCAGCTGTTTGAAGCCATCAGTCCTGAGTGGATCAATACTGACTCTTCTCTCTGTAAAAGACTGTCTGAACATTCACACACTGAACTACAACATTTAGAGAAATCAGAATGAAAAGCTCTCTCACAGTGTTTGTGTTTACATGCAACGATTTTTGCCAATCCGATTGAATACAATCCGATTACAGATGTAGACTGAGGTGTTTATATGCACTCTATTCAACAATCTGATGGAAAATCTTCGTTTACATGCTCACTACAAGTAATCCGATGCAAAATGACGCGCATGCGTGGAGTAGCGCTTAGCGTAAACGTTACCATGACAGCGAACATCACGTGAGGTCCAGACCAGTTTCTGCTCCGCCATGTTGAGCGGTGTAAACTTTCGCCGTGACGCGACGCACATGCGCAGAACATACTTACACGTTCCGATTGGAATGTAATCGGATTCAGGCGTTTACATGGCTATTATTCTTCTATTTAACGGATTATTTAGAAGTTTACCCACCTCGTTTAATCGGATAGAAATTGTATTCCGAATGGCCTCAATCGGATTAGACTATTCCGATTGAGGTGTTTACATGGACGTATTCTATTCCGATTGAGCTATTAGTCGGATTATTAACGGATTATCAGGCTGCATGTAAACGTGGCTATTGACTCACTGTATCTACCTGTTGTTAAGACCATTAAAAGCTTAATATTTCGCTATTTTTTTGCCCATGTTTAATATAACTTTCAAATTTAGTATCATGCAGACATTTTTAATATTTCATCTGTGTTCCCTGGAACTTTAAACCAGAAAATCTCATGATAGACAAATTAAGATGCTCAAACTGACTTTTTAAAAGTGCTTAAATAGCGAAAGTTTACACCGCTCAACATGGCGGAGCAGAAACTGGTCTGGACCTCACGTGATGTTCGCTGTCATGGTAACGTTTACTCTAAGCGCTACACCGCGCATGCGCGTCATTTTGCATCGGATTACTTGTAGTGAGCATGTAAACGAAGATTTTCCATCAGATTGTTGAATAGAGTGCATATAAACACCTCAGTCTACATCTGTAATCGGATTGTATCGGATTGGCAAAAATCGTTGCATGTAAACACAGCCAATGGTGCAGCTGTTATGTTCTGGCACTGCTGTAGCTTTTAATCAGTTTTTGAGCTCCAGTTTTGTAAAGTCCTGTTTTTTCTCTGACTTTCTTCTTCATTATGCATGTGGATTATCTTCTGTATAATCTCAGATTAACTCACTGAAGGGGGTCTCTGTGCTGCACTCAGACACTCAGGAACCTGTTCAGTACCTTCATCTGTCTGTATCTGTCCGTGTGGGACCTGAGCAGGTACTCGATGGCGTTGGCTTCGTCCGGCAGCTCAGTCTCAGCCAGCTCTGTGCCAAAAGTCTGGAGCAGCTGGGCCACCTCCTTCACCGTCACTGCAAAGCTCTCTATGGCCTGCAGGGGGCAGCACAGACAGTAGAACGCATTACTGCATTACTCAGCATATTGCAGTAATAAACTGCATTTTAATGTTCCTGCCTTCTCTGAGAGGATGATGGAGATTCTGAGTGAACCGAATCAAAGGAATACTGTTTTTAAACACTTCAGTTCTGTTCTCAGCACAGCAGGACACAAACTAACACAGGGTTAACTGTAAACAAGCTCTCCAGCTAAAACATATAAAAATATCAGCATTAAAATAACTATGATCAGTGAAATGAGGCTCAAACACTGAACACAGAGCAGAACAGCGAATATCAGCACATGAAACTGAAATTAGCTCATCAGTGTCCGGTGTTTGATTTATTTTAACGCTGATATTTTTATGTATTTAGGCTGGAAAACTTGTGAGGTTCTAACAACACACAATGATATTGAATTAATTGTGTTTTGCATCAGTCTGCTAGACGTTTTTGTGTCTCACCCCTCAGTCTGTTACAGTTAACCTGGCCTGTGGGGTAAACTGGCACATTTTGCTCCAATTTTTGGCTGAAATGTTCACAAATGGTACGGACAATGGTAGTTTATATTGTCAGTCGTAGCAGAGACGTGTGAGCTGCTTGTATAAAAAACGAATCAGTGTTGCACGAATACTTTTAAAACAATTTAGTAAAAAACAAAATGTTTTAGCTTGTGCTCCACTCTCCCTCACAGGCAGATCAGCCTATTAACTACAAACTGGACATACTGTACGTGTTGATGTTCAATAACCTCAATCTCAAAATAAATATGCACTTTAGAAACCGCTGTTATTTGTGATTGTAGTGATTATTTTCTGTAATGTCAGCACACCTCCCCCCCCACCACCCCCCATCCCCTGGACACAGTTATAATGGACTATTCCATGTTGTTGTGATGGTAAAGACTGACTGCTATAAACAAGGCCAAGAGCAGATAATCTGCATTATGGAGAGAAGCTTCTTCAGTGTGATTTTCTGGGTTCTGAGAGGTTCTGTGGTTGTTGATTTAAGGAAGTCGTCACCCAGAATCATAAAAGGCTCTACAGTTGATCTGGAGGATGGTTATAAATATCTTGGCACATTTATAGATAAGACACTTTGTTTTGAATTGAATGTACAAAAAATGGGCCAAGCCCAAAAAGTAATGCTTTTTACTGAGGGTTCTGGCTGGTCAGAGTCCATATTTAAACCCTGTAGTGAATATTTGGTCTCACATTAAACACAAACCAGCTCAGCAGTGTTTTCCAGCTGTTTGAAGCCGTCAGTGCTGAGTGGATCAATACTGACTCTTCTCTCTGTAAAAGACTGTCTGAACATTCACACACTAAACTACAACATCTAAAGAAATCAAAGGGAAAAACTCTCCGATATTAATTTACTGCAGCTGTGTGTTTATTGATTTGTCACTAAACGCGCTGCTGCTCTCTCCTACCGTGAATGTAAAATTCTCTTTTGAAATAAATGTAAATGTATAGCGTGAGTTCTCCAGGCAGTGAGGTGTTTAACACTGAGATGTTCTAGATTTACCGTTCGGAGGACGATCCAGTCGCTTGGGCCACATTCGAGAGTCCCACCGAACTCAGAGCTCAACTGATTCTCGTCAATATATCGGAGCAGATCAGTCACCGAACTCAGCATGATCACCTGAGAGACAGAGGGAGATAATATGGCATTCAGCTAATGCTATTCTGTCACTAAGCTGTAAGAAAACATTCTGAAAAATAAAAATAAATAAAAAAAAATCCAGCAGATTTTCCATAAAGTCAATCTTCACTCCTTTAATGGAGGGTGTTACATAATGTAAATAGAAGACAGTTCTCTCAACTCATATATGAATCTACATAAATACAAATAACGAAGAACACAAACACATTATAATACAATAAAATATGTTATTACCAATAAAAGGAAGCAGATTCATAACAACTAACTTGCATGTAAAGTTTTTCATTTTATCGTCTCAGTGACTGTGGCTAACCAGCCTCTGTTTGCTAACTGACGTTAGTGATCTCTTCATGTTAACTTTACTGGCAAAGCATTTAATTTCTGTAAAACGAGCACAAACTGACAGAGAGTAATCAGTCACCATCAAGTTGACAACAAAACATCTCTACAACAGCTTAATAAGGAGAGAAAAAGTCTGAAATGCTAGCTAGCATCAAGCTACTCCCTTTAAAAATGGTTCTTTAAGGATTCTTTAGTAAAGATGGTGGTTCTGTGTAGGACCATGAACACTCACAGAACCATTTGAATGCTTAAAAGGTCGTTTGCATGGTGACACTGTTCTGCAGATTGTGGACAGTGTGTTCTATATGGCACCAAAGGGTTCTGTTATTACAAGCGTAACATTGTGACAACAGCAGAATCTATTTTCAGAAAGGTTCTATACAGAACCACATACAACCATTTCACCATGCAAAGAACCATTTAAGTTATTTGAGTGTTCATGGCGATATCCAGAACCATTCTCCTTACTAAAGAGGCCTTGAGGCTAATTATCAGCTAGGTTAATAACGGTAGCCTTAGCGGATGTTTAAGGTGTGTCAGTACTGCACTGCCTGTCTAAACTATTACAGTATCTGACTTTTATTATATAGAGTAATTTTGTAATTTTGTAATTTTGTACTTTTGTACTTTTGTACTTTTTGTTCCTTGTTGCTCCTTGTTGTTCCTGGAGGAACGTAATTTCGCTCCACTGTGTACTTGTACATAGATGGAATGGCAATAAAAGCCTCTTGACTTGACTAGAATTTCCATCTTTTTACAGCACATTTGAATAGAGGAGCTGTGTGGCTGTGAACTTTAGCTAGCCTAGCATGCGGGGTTAGCTTTGAAATACAGATAAAAGACTGCTTTACTGTCTCTCACTGAGGAGCTTTAGAGTTTTATTTTAGACCAGAAGGATCCAAAAACAGAGCACACAGCTTACTTCAATATAGATTACAGTTTCTTTAAAGGTTCCATTCCACCTTAAATGGAGCAGCTGTAAAACAGCACCGACCAGCAAGCATTTCAATCTGGTCTAAACTGGTCTATGCTGGTTTAAGATGCTCTAGGCCGGTTTATGCTGGTCAGGTTCTGGTTTAGCTGGTCACCCCAGCATGTCAAAACCTCGTATCTCCATTTTTGACGTTTTTCAGTTTTTGACATAATCTGAAAATGCCTGTTGTCCTTTACATTGTATGTGAATTTCATGATGAATGGCCCAAAAGAAACGGCCCAAAGTCACTTGGAGAAACCTCTGGTTCCATTGACTTACATTAAAAGTAAAGTAAGTTTTTTCCTTCTCCTGTAAAGTTACCATTTTTGAGAAGGTTTTCTTCCGACAACAGTGATATGCTGGTTTTGCTGTTTTTTAAGGTGGAGCCTCAGAGTTTCTATGCTTACAGATGCTGAATGTTCTAAGACGTTCTCCTGCAGTTCCATAAGTCACTTAAGTAGCTGTTTGAGCTGCTGTTTTACTTCTACTCAAGTTGTTTTTTGGAAGGAACTAAAGAGTGTAGTGCTGCACATTAACGGAGCGTTTCTTACTGGCATCTTGAGTGTAAAGTCATCTTGGCTGAAGCGGAAGCCCAGGTCCGTCCCGGTGGTCTGGACGTGAGTCCTGGGCCTCACCACCAGAACCAGGTGAAGATTTCCAGGAAAGGAGGTCTGAAAAACACAGAACACAATTGTGACGAAGGAACACAAGAAGTTAAAATTAAACCTAGTGTGAGTGGGGCTGAACTGCTGAACTGGTGAACTGCTGAACTGTAACAGCAGAATTCAAAATGCATGGTTTTTGCAGTTCAGCAGTTCAGCCCCCCTCACACTAGTTATAAGGAGTGTTTCTGATTCTTTTTGAATGAGGCAGCCAATCAGAACAGAGATCATTTACATATATCAGTCTTAAAGGCACAGTAACAAAAACAGCCTGTTTAACTGTGAGATGATCATCCAGAAAAGAATTGAGGTACATAAAAACATGCAATCATTATAAGTGGAGTCAATACAAATGTAGCATACGGGCCCTTTAACTTCATCCAGTCTTAGTAGGATATGGGCCCTTTAATGTTCACCTTACATTAGGCTTATGATTCAGTTAGTAATGTTAAGATCGTATTATTCAGTAAGTATTCTAAAAAAGATGGTTCTTCATGGGTTCTTTGGTAAAAAGAATGGTTCTGTTCAGAACCATGAATTCTATATAGAACCATTTGCATGCTTAAATGGTTCTCTGCATGGTGAAATGGTTCTTCAGATTGATTCTTTATAGCACCAAAAAAGGTTCTTCTATTGGAACAAGCTTAACATTACAATAACAGTAGAAGAACCCTTTGTGGTGCTACATATAACCACTGTCTTTACTAAAGAACTCTTGAAGAACCATCTTTTTAAAGAGCATATATACACAGTCGTATGCATAAGTTTGTGCACCCAGGTCAAATTCCATATTTTGTCATTTTTTTGCAAAAATAAGTTAACACAGGGAACACGCTTAAATATGATATTTTTGTGCAAATTGTTAATTATATTATTATAATTATTAACATGGTTCTTCAGATTAATGTATTGTTTATGGTTCTATATAGCACCAAAAAGGGTTCTGCTATTGTTATGATGCTAAGCTTGTTAAAATAACAGAACCCTTTTTGGTACTATGTAGAACCAAGAACCGTTTCACCATGCAGAGAACCATTTTAGCATGCAAAGTGTTCTTGGTTCTAAATAGAACCATTGTCTTTACCAAAGAACCCCTGAAGGACCATCTTTTTAAGAGTGTACTGTGAAACCTTCAGTTGCTCAGAGTTTAATGGTGTTGAAAACTTTTCTGACTCCAGATCTTTAGTACCAGGTTGGTTCTAAGTTCCGCCCCCAGTTCTGCACAGTCAAAGTGGGAAAATGAATCCGTTACATAACTCTGAGTGTGAGTGAGCGGAGACCCCGGCTGTGTTTCGGCCTCCTACCACTGTACTTACACTCAGAGAGAAATCTGGGTCATTCTGACTCCCACCTTACAAACATCGGCACCAGAAACACACGGGAACATCAGCTGTGCTGTCGGGAGACCATCACACACCAGCACTTAAAGGGAATTATGACAGTGATGCCTGATTTACAATAAAACTTATTAATTCCAGCTGGGAAATGGAGGTGTTACATATGCAGTGCTGTGCGAAAGTTTTAGGCCCCTGAGCACATAATTTATAACCACTTGTCTCAGCAGTGAACGCATGAGTGGGCTTCTAAATTCACCATATATGATCATAATAAATACAAATGAACTCAAGTACAGTCAAAAGACATAACAATTTCTTACTATCATAAAAGTAGTTAATATCTCGTGAGCTAGTTTGAAGAAACAAACTAGTTTGGTTCTGGATTTCTCCTCCAGCATCACATGAATTTAGGCCTCACCTGATTTAACATGATGAAGTATTGATTAGACAAAGCTGGTACTGGATGATAACTATAGATGATAATGAGCTTCCTGGAGGAGAGGGCAGGAAATGATTAACCACACTGACACACATCAAATCACTACTTACTTACTTGTATTAATTAATTAAATTAGGCTTTTAAACAGGCATAACACACTGCTGTACTGTCTCTCTTCAGCGTTTCATTTTAGATCAAAAGGATCCAAAAAAGGAACACAGCCTCCCACACAGCTTCTTCAGATCTCCCATTCTACCTTAAATGTGCAGCTGTTACCTGCAGCATTTAAGGTGGAGCCTCATGCTGAATGTTCTAAGAAGTTCCACTGCAGGAACATCTTACATACATACAATCACTTCTTATTATATTGATATGATCTGTCTTTCTTGTAATATTAGTGTTTTCTGAGCAAATAAACACTCACTTAAATCTAACTTTCCCAGGTGTGTAAAACAGCTGCACAGTACTGTACACTCTAAAAAAGGATTGTTCTTCAGGGGTTCTTTAGTAAAGACAATAGTGCTATATAGAACCATGAACACTCAAAGAACTATTAGCATGACTAAATGCTTCTCTGTGTGGTGAGATGGTTCTTCAGAGTGATAGAGAATGTATTGGTTCTACGTAGCACTAAAAAGGTTCTTCCTTTGGAACAAGCTTGACATTGTAACAATAGAAGATCCCTTTTTGGTGCTATATAAAATCATTGTCTTTACTAAGGAACTTTTGAAGAACCACCTTTTTTAAGAGTGTATACATAGTATATACTATATATATAGAGTGTATGTATAGTATACACTCTATATACTATATATATAGAGTGTATACTATACATATGTGTATTCATAAGTTTGTGCACCCCAGGTGCACGATTCCACATTTTGTAAATTTTTTTGCTCAAATAAGTTAAAACATCCTCTACAGAGAAAACACATAATGATGAACATTTTCTGCAAATTGTTAACATATTGGAACAAGTAAAACACTCATATTAATAATTCTTTTCCCTGGCAATATGTTAAATTCACTGAATTAAACAGTAACGGTGCATTAAGATGTGCAGAGGTGTGTAACTTATATATATATTCATGTATCGCTTCTGTTGGAACAAAGCCTTGTATATCCATTTTTGCATTTTTCAGTTTTTGACATAATTTGAAAATCCCTGTTGCCCTTTACATTGTGCATAAATTTCATGATGAACAGATCAAAACAAACAGACCAAAACTACTTGGAAAAAAATTGCATTCCATTGACATTTTTTACACTAAAAAGTATGTTTTTTCCCCTCTCCTGTAATGTATATATATATATATATATATATGAGTTATCATTTTATATATATATATATATATATATATATATATATATTACTGCTTGATAAAAGGTTATCTGAAGGTATATCTGAGGTATATCTGTGTTTAATTTAGACTGACCAAACATTTTATGTCCACCATCAGTAGCTTAGTGCTAACATACTATTAGAAATCCTAGCAGAAGTTAGCATTGCTGTAGAGGTGGACTACTTTGTGTTTTGACATCTATGGCCTGGACTGAGGGCTGAGCACAATTGTATATACATATACATGTGTTTTGGGCCCTTTAAATGTATTTATATAGTGGCTCATACACGTATGAGTGGATGAGTAGAGTAATAGACTCAGACTACTGTCAACCCACGCAATCTAAAACCTGCTTTTATTCTACGGTATATTTAATTTGGCATTTTTACAGGAGGAACAGTGGCTTGATTAGAATGTGTGCATTAGTGTTGCATGAATAAAACATGTCACATTAGCTCTGTTATTGTCTGTCAGTGCACTGATGTCGTACAGTGAACGTGTTTAACTGTTATATCTTGCTCAGAGTGACCGATGTGTGTGCTTTAGTGAAGTAAATTCAGTCTTGTTTGTCTGACATGTTGAATTATTGTGCCGCTATTTATAGACTTAGTGTGTTTTTAGCCAAATCTGACTTGATGTAAACAGCAGCGTGAGTGTGAAGCCAGGGGCAGTGAAGCTGCTTCCCTCCAGATCATCTGTCATGCTTTAACCTCGATGGACAGCTGATCAATAAAAGCCAGCAGACCCTCCGGCCCGTCCTGCACCGTCCTGCACCGATCTACCCAAAGTCCTGACACTCACGCTCAGCACAGCCGGACTGATAAAAAACCTGCGTCCCTGATGAGAGATGACCGTGCGCTTTGGCTCAGGCTGAGTATAACTGACCGTATGAAGGTGTGGTTTCACTGTAGGGCATTTTTATGTCCTTTTTTCATGTCTTGGACTTTAAGCTGGTCAGTTTGAGCAGCCCATGCTGAATATAACAGCATAAACACACTTATTATCTGTAGTCTAGCATGCATGGCTATTGCAAACGCAACCATGCTGAGAGCTGAAATGATGCAGAAGCTGTTACCGTAGCTATTCCTGACCCCCCGCAAGGAGGGGGGGGGGCGGTCTGTACACGTTTGGTGTTTCTGCAGAAGCATCTGGTTCTTACCGTGGCTCTTCTGATCCGGGGCAAACCTCTAAGGGGACTAGCCTCGGCCATCTTCTCAGTTCTGGGTTTTTTTTAGGACATTCAGAACCTCCTTTGCCTCCTCCTCGTCCTCTTCCTCCTCTTCTCCCCTTTTTTCTACCCCTGTACTCCCCCCTTCTCCATCACTTTCCTCTGCAGGACGCAGCCAGCCAAGGATGCTGCAGTTTTCCACCTGTTTTCAGACAAGCCCCGGCCACATGCGCTGATTGGCTGGCTGTTGTGCCTCACTTGAGCTAGGATTGGCTTGCTAGTATGAAATTTTGGCCAATCCCAGAGCTGGTGGATGGGTCTTGACAGAAAATGGGTGGGAAATAAAAAATAACACCAGTGCTCTGCAATATGAAGATCTAGCCAATCAGAAAAGGAGTAACAGCATTTCTATTTTTTAAATGTAATGTTTATTATTTCTGAACAAATATTTCATATTTCTAAACATTTAATTTTTATTTATTTTGTATACAAGAAGAAGAATAAAATAAGCATTTCTATCTGTGCCTTTAAACACAAAACAGTTTAAAATCGAGCTGCTACCTGAATGAAGTGTTTTAGGACCTGTGACGTCACTCAGCAGCACCTCCACCAGCTCGTCTGAGCTGTTAAAGGGCCCATATCTTGTTTTTCTCTAAATGAAAAGAGTTTAACATAGTAAAATTGTTAAAGTTTCAAAGCATACTGTTCTCCCCAGTGCATATGGAAGCTTTATGGAAGTCTTTGCTTTTGTGATGTCACAAAAAACAACACATTTACATACAGCCACCTATTCAGCCTAGAATAACAAACCTGCACTACAAACAGGACAGGTTTGGGAACGGCTTCACATCTTGAGAGATAAAATAAAAGAAAGCAGTAGTATTTCTGTTAAAGGGCCGGTTTCCTACATTTTTCTTATATTTTTATTTTTCCCCCTGGGCACCACACATAACATTTGTGTGGTTTTATGTACCAAAAACAGACATAATTCATATTTATGATCATTTACCAACCTCTCTTTATTGCTTAGAAATGTTACTGTACCTTTAAGACTACCTGCTGTAGGCTGAATGGTCAGGGCTAAACTGCTGTAGGGTCCCTCACAGAAAGTTCCTATATGAAATGGTTATGAGTTCACTGCCTGATGACTGAGACACTGTTTTATGATAGTTTAGAGAACTTAAACTCCATTCATGGTGGAGGGATACATGCAGGGCGCTGTGAGGCAAAATAGTCCCCAAAGAAAACTTATTATTTCAGATTTTCCACTATTTTCCATCATCAACATTCCATATAAACTCAGAAGACTCGTGTAGGTTCACTGGTGGTTCTGGGTAGTAAATAAAATGTCTATATTTGTGTTGTAGTCATGGCGACCCCTGGTTCGCATCACCACCACTGTAAACACATCTGTAACAAGCCACTTTTACATCAAACCACTCTATGACTAAGTTTACATCACAACGGTGGGATTATGCAAATATTTAGAAAAATCGGTGGAATTCTCTTTTAACAATGTCTACATACTGTATCGGATTCTTTTATTAGAGACAGTGAGGGGAAGTTCAGTTTTGGGCCCTTTAAATAAGTAAGAATATGCAGTTCTGGGTTAGGGTTAGTCCGTGTCTAATCTGCACGCCGTTCCATTAAGTTCCATTAAGTGAGTTTGGCTCTGAGCACGGATACAATCCTCTTACAAACACATACAGCAGGAGAACACAAAGTTCAGCAGACTGTAATCTATTCAGCTCGCGCCAGAGAACACAACCACACCTCACCCTGAAATCACTGAGAGAGCAGGGGGGAACTTTCAGAGCCCTCTAGGTGTTCCGAGATGGCCTAATGATTTCTGTGAAACAAACAAATATGTCTGTACATTTTAATTCATGGTATCCAGGCAGATTCAGCTGAGCTGCTCTCCCATTGGTTTGGACCTCAGGAGCTGGACTAAAGGCCTTACAGGTTAGATTACCCAGTTTAGTTTACAATGGGACCAATTTCACGGGAAAAAAGGGTCACTCTAGTCCTTCTGGAGGTTCTAGATACGTGACTAACTGTCAATATAAGTCATAATCTAAGCAGTGTTTCCGGTTAGTTGTTAGGAATGTAAAACAGCTCTGTGTCAGAATTCTATACTGAGAGAGTCTCTGTAACACTGATAGACACAAACTCAGATATCTGATAATGACTGATACAAACTTCAGATAAAACACATAGAAGAACTTTTACAAGCTTTTAATGCCTGCCTTTAATCTGGAACAGCTACAAAATGTTCATGTGCACCAGAGTTAGCTTAGCGCTAACATACTGTTAGAAATCCAATAGGGGTGCTAATAGAAATTAGCATTATTGTAGAAATGGGTTTTTCTTGTTTTTGTTTTTGCCCGAAATTTGTTTTTTTTATGCTTGACACACTGTTTTATGATAGTTTTGAGAAGATATATATAGTATAGAGAAGTGTATATATAGTATCCCTTCACCATGAATGCATTTTAAGGCCAAAATTTTCCCAAAACTATCATAAAACAGTGTCTCAGTCATCAGGCAGTGAATTCGTAACCATTTCATGTAGTAACTTTCTGTGAGGGAGCTTTTAGAGGGGGACGTCTGGTTCCTATCACCACCACTGTGAACAGTTCTGACTCGGTAAGTTTATCTAGAACGGAGCGTTTCACACCAAACCACTCTGAACCGCTCTGATTATATCTTAACTGCTTAATTATGTGGGATTTTTTTAAAAATCCCCTTTAAGAGTTTAAATATAGACTTCAATACATTATTTAAACCATTGTATATCTGATTATTTATTGTGTTTATACTTTATTGCATACTTATTTATTGTGCTTATATGCTGTGCTGTATACACTGCTACACTGAAACTATTCAGCTTTAAGATTAACACAGTTTAATGTTTGTCTCATATTGTATCATAAACACAGATATACAGGTTTTATTAAGTCTTGTATCTTTTGATCTCTTTAATCTGGGTATAAAGGATATTTTGTTGAGATCTGATGATAAATTTAGAGTGAATGCTGGAGGTGTTTAACTGCAGTGGTCAGTAAAGGTCAGTATTGTATGCAGATCCAGATTAAAGCGATTCTCTAAAGGCCAGGAACTCACTGTAGTCCACTTAAAGAGTTTCAGGGAACCAGTCCTGCTTTACCTTCTCTAATTTAATTTATCTGGACTAATTAGTTTAACACAAATAAATTAATCTGGACTATCCACAGGATTAAAGAGACTATAATAATTTATAATTATTTAACACAACTTCAATTTTCTTTTTAAAACTCTTTTAATATAATATAAATCTTTATTTCTTTCACTGAAAATAACAGTGGACTGAATTTACTTCATTGAAACCTGTGAAATATATGACATCACCATTTTATCTGTCACTTTTCTTAGTTATGGCAGTAATTCTGTAGTGGTGTAATACTTCTATTAATAGGTAGATTTTTTTATTTATTTTTATTCTTAATCATTCGTTTTGTTTTCTGAATTTCTTTCACTGCAAAAAATAATACATCAATTTAAATGTTAGAAAATGTCTAATATTTGTCATTTTGTTCAATTTAATTAGAATTTGAATGAAAGAAATTAATGGCAGATTATTTCATTTGTTCAAGCAAGTGAAATAATCTGCAGTGACTGTGAAAAACTTTAATTTCTTTATCAAATCATATTTTCATTTAATACAATTACATTAAATAAGTAAAAATGCCTAAAAATCAACCGAACTTTCTTACTACACTCTTATGTTTGAGTGATATCAGGCATATTTCAGATATTTAAGATGTTTTAATGAGCTGATATGTTGTTTTCTGTGCTAAGTTGTGAGGCTGGACTCAGCACCGGTCAGTATTTTGGGTGTTTTGACTCCAGCGAGGCTATTTCAGTGAGCGCTTAGCAATAAGGGGATTAACCTAATCACACAAAGGTCCTTACAGTCACACTGCGTACATCAATCAACACACACACTGCTGCATGTTCTCCTGCAAATAGACCTGAGGTTCTTTTCACAGGACAGGAGGAACATCACAGGCCCTCGGTGTTCCTAAAGTCTGGAGAACAAGGGGTGAACTTTGATTATTGGGGTCTGGTAGCAAAATTCCTCAAAGGGGTTACGTGACCTGTGAGCCATTTAAACCATTTACAGCCACCCCAAGGTCACATCTGACACCCCAGTGCTCCCACTACAGTCCTCCTCCTCTAAACCAGTCTGATCCATCTGTCGCTCTCAGAATAAACAGACCTGCACAGAACAGAATGAGCTACAAACAATATTTATCAATCAATCAATCAACCAACCAATCAATCAATATTAGCTTCTCTACTGACAAACTTAAGCACCTGAAAGTTATAGATAATACTAATATTAATTTCATCAGGCCCATTAAACTCCTTTAACACATTTTGTTTTGGCTGAATATTGATGGTTATTATTTACTGAGCGATGTGCATCCATATTGCCCAGTATGCTCAGCTAGTCAATATTTTAAAATCAATATTCAATCAATAGTCAATGTCAGTCCATTCCTTTTCATTCTGCATCAGTCAGAGCTGAAACTAAACTTGACTGAGAGTCGAGATCATCACTGTCCTGTTTAAAATGATGAGCTCCTATAAGGAGAGAGCATCACGCCCAGATACTGGTTGGACTGGACTGGACTGGACTGGACTGAACTCCACAGAGGCTGCGTGAGCTTCATTTCCTACATGTGCAGATGAACACATGTTTACACATGACATGATTATCTTTCCAAGCTGCAACTGGTCATCTGCGTTTATCAAATGAAATAAATAGCTGTATTTCACTCTTACAGACTAGAGACAGACTGGCTCTGAGTGAATATCAAAATCTGGTCAAAAAAAGTACTACAGAGAGAACAATCCTGATTGGATTGCATTTTCTGTTGGGTGGTTCACGATTTAACCTTTTTCTATTCATTCGCTTCTCAAATAACGGTGAACTAAACATTTCAGACGTGAATTTGTTTATTACAAATGATGATGAGACGGCTCTGAGGGTTCTCCACTGATAAACGTGTGTTTCCACATAAATCCCTCATCTTGCAAGCTACAACCATCAAACATTGCAGGACCTCAGAGCCCGTACCCAAACAGGGTGCCT